CTGCTTTGCAAGGGTGGCTGTAGCTCAGGCGGTAGAGCTGAACATCTACTGATCGGAGGGTTGCTGGTTCAATTCCTGGCTTCCCCTAGTCTGCTTATCACATATCCTTGGGTAAGATACTAACCCCAAATTGCTCTCCGAGGCATCCATCGGAGTATGAATATGTGTGTGAATGTTTGTCACAAAGCACTAAGAAAAATGTGCTAGTGTGAATGCACAAGTTGGGAGTTCGCCTTGTAATCGGAAGGTTGCTGGTTTGTTCCTCGGCTCGGACAGTCTCGGTCGTTGTGTCCTTGGGCAAGACACTTCACCCGTTGCCTACTGGTGGTGGTCAGAGGGCCCGGTGGCGCCAGTGTCCGGCAGCCTCGCCTCTGTCAGTGCGCCCCAGGGTGGCTGTGGCTACAATGTAGCTTGCCATCACCAGTGTGTGAATGTGTGTGAATGGGTGGATGACTGGATATGTAAAGCGCTTTGGGGTCCTTAGGGACTAGTAAAGTGCTATATAAATACAGGCCATTTACAAGTTGTGTGAAGCGCTCAGAAGAGTAAAATAAGTGCTGTATAAGAACCATTTAGCATGTGGGTCTGCTTTTTGAACTGACTCTGGACACAATCACATGATCTTGGTTGGTAACATGTGGTGTTCAATACAAACATCATTATTACAGTGTTTCAATCATTGTTTCACATCATCAGTTTGTTTTATTTTATTGTGTTTACATGTAGTCAGAGGCTGAGGTCAGTGTGCATCTGCACATACATGTCAAAGCAAGACAAAGAACAGTCTGCAGAATAAATGAGTTCCTGCTTTACTTTGAAATGATAACAGATAATAAATATAACTTTGAATTTATCTATGAATTTAATTGTTCTTTAGTTGGTGAAACATAAAAGTCTTTAGTCTCACGTCAGCCACACACTGAGTCATTTCCTGTGTTTGGGTCTCCACCAAACTTAAAACCAGAATTTAACCACAAGGTGAAAACTTTCACAGGTCTGAGGTCAAAGAAGCCTTTTCACTATATTACTGCATGATGATGTTTCAGTTAAGAGTCGAATAAAATAAAGACATTTTAATGCAGCCTAAAGTAAGAATTTAATTTTAATTCTGCAGTTAAACAATTAAAAGGAGAAAAATGATTTAAAAAGGCTTTAGTGAAAATACAGGCACCGAAGTAGAAAAGCTGTTTGGTATATTCACTCTCAGTGACTCCCAGTCTGCAGAGACCTGCCAGGAGACAAATATTAGTGGATATTGCAACCAAAAAATCCCCCAAACGGGCAAAACATACTTACATGAAGCAACACAACAACATTTTATATTATAGAAAAAGGAAACAACACAACAAAAGAAACAAGCTTCTATGTTTGCAGGGGACAGGAAATATAAACATGTCAACCAACTGCTGCGGTCAAAGCTACAGGAGCTGTTTGAGTTTTGTGTGTAACGGCAGGAAGCACAGAGAGACCAATCAGAATAAGAGCCTGTAGAAAAACTCTTGTTGTATCTATATTAAACACAACTTCTCTTTATCTGCAAACTAAAACTGTTTGATTATCTGAGGATCAGAGTGCAGCAGGCTGGATGTGACGATGGGGCACTCTTTGCTCTGCATGATGGGCTTTTTCTGTAAGTACACGTCTGACATTGTTTGAACGGCAGCGATTAAAGAAAATGTTTCTGATCTGTGAGAATTACAGTGAGTCACTGCTTTAACCTGTTTACCTGAGAGCTGGAACAAAGCAGACTTGTGATTCTTTAAGTGTTTAAATGTTTGATACGCTGCTGCTTTTTGCATCACTTATAGTTGCACACTGTGTTACAACAGTTTGATTGTATAATGTCTGATGAGGTTTTATTGATTATTTTAGTGCTCAGTACTGTCATCTGTGGAAATGCTGAAGGTAAGAAATGATTAGTTTCTTCCTGTTCATATATGTAGCTGTTATGTCCTATAATGTGCTCAATAATATCCTCCCTGTGTTTACATGTTATCTTCTGCACAGACTCAATGCTTCTATTCAGCCTGTGCAGTTAAACATAAATGGCTTCAGTAAGCGCTCCATGTGGAGACTGTGGCGTTCTTCAGAGCTTTTACTGATGTACCATTTGTACCACTTTCAGTCTGTAAAACTGTAACAACAAAACAGAGCAGGTACATTTAATCTCAGTGTAGATGCACAAATGTCACATGACCAATGCAAGATCATAACATTAACAATAAATGGACAAAGCCTGTCAAGTGACGTAAATACAAATACCACATGCTGACATGTTTTATGCTAACAGGCAAAACAAAGCACTAACAGTTAGCTTACAGTAGTAATGTAACAAACTTCACAGACCCACAGAGCACTAATATGTAGAAACAATCCATCATCTGCCCAAACTTACACTTTATCCCATCTCAAGAGCAGCAGATGCAGAACTATCACAGACACGGAGCTCTAGCCATTATTACTCGGCACTTCCGCCATTTAACCACTAGATGGCGGACTTTGACATGAGCGGACCAGGAAGAAGTGTATTTGCTGAGCAATACTGTAGAATCATTTACTTACGGGATGAATAAATGTGACCCGTCATATAACAAACTTGAAACAAACTATATTTCAGGAATAACCTGAGGGACAAAATATTGAATATGATACAGCTCACACTCCACTGCATTTATTGGTTAAAATATTAAAATGATCATATCAAGAGTGCAACCATGTGAGCAGATGTTTCACTCAGCCGATACACAAACTTTATATTTACTAGAGTTTGTTGCCTTGAAACTGACTGATTTCCTTTTCATGAGTATTTATCTGTCCATCCTCACAGATCACAGTTAGGATTCACAAGATGCTGATGAACTGGAGGATCAATCTAATTTATTACAGCACAGCGTGATGAGTTTAGGGTAAATGCAGGTAACTCAAATCTGAAAACAGACTCAACCACAGATCAGCCAGTTAAAGTCCTGCTGAAGACTTTAATCAGTCTTATTATGAATTTTTACTCTCAGTTATTTATAGTGTCATGGTGTGCTGTCTGCCTCAGTGTCCTCTTGAAAAAAACCTCTAAAAGTTGTTAAAGACTTCACATACACAAGAGTAATAAGTAAAACAAACTGGACAAAGTGCCATCGATATAGATTTATTCATTTATGACTGTCATGGTGTTTCATCATTTTACTCTGAGTGCTTCTTCCCCATCTTTGTTTAGTTTTTTAAAAATTATTTCCTCTTTAATTTAAAGGTTTGTTTTCTTTCATCCTTTGTGTTATTTTTCTTCCTCTTTTATGATTTTCCTGTTTGTTTTAACTGTTTCTCATTCCCAGTCCTGTTTAAATTGTCCTGTTGTGTCTTGTCAGTCTTTGTCAGAGCATCTGTGAACACTCATGTGTGTTCATCTCCTAGTTGTTTCTATTGACAGTTTATTTATTTCTAGTTTTACGTTTTGATTCTTTATATGTTTCCATTTTTAGACTATTTAGGTATTAAAGTTCAGCTTTATTTAAGTTATTTTGCTTCCTGCATTTGAGTTCACACCTCTGCACTCCACTCATTGTTACAGAGACACATATTTACAAGTCTGTGGACTCTACTGGAAGGATGGACACAAAATACTTTTTCTCTAATTTGGTGTTTCTATGATAGTAGCTTAGTTTGGAGATTTTACTGTAGCAAAGTCATGTGTATATATATTAACCCTCGTGTGCATTTTATTATCTCTGTGTGTGATCAGGTTTGTAAATATGTCAAAACATCTGTGTGCACAGATATTATCAGCTGGAAAGTCTTAAAGTTTTGCCTGAAGCACTTAAAATACAGACGTGTGGTCAAGTTTCAGCTCACCTGCTCTCTTTGTTGTCTGTTTTATTACTTGTGACCTTTGCTGCACTGCTGCTGGGACAGATCCACAGATGAGTGTGGAAGGTTTTCTGTAATCGAGGGTTCATTAACCCTGAGCTCAGGCTCACAGGCTCAGGCTTTCTGTCACACTCAGAACAAACCACCAGGTGGCGTATTACTCAGCCAGGCTCACCTGCTCTTCACCTTGTATTTGAGTCTCAGTTGCAGTAGGAAATAAAACTGCAGCTGGAACATCTGTGTGGCAGATGTGGTGGGTTTTTCCTTCTTCCACTAAAAGGACCACAATAATAGCCTCATATTTGTCGAAGTTACAGAACTTAAAGTCAAGGCCATTCTGACAGCAGACAGCACAACCACACCAGCAGGGGGCAGTGTGACACTGACCTGTGAGGTGAATTACTCTGTTCAGAAAAACCTCATCTGAAAATGAGATCATCTCTTTTAGCTCTAAGAGTGCAATCTCTGTCTCTGATGGAGGCATCTACACCTGCAGAGGAAGGAGAAGAAACACGAATTTAGTCACAACTAAAAGCGATTCAGTCATTATTCAGGAAACTGATGAGTTTAAAAAATTTTGAGAGTTGAAAAAGGTCTTCTCCAAATTGTAATGGAAGTCAATATTCACTAATCACCAGCACTTAAACCACTAAATCTGTCAAATTATTAATTATTAGGCTCAGTGCATCGTTTCACCTTTGTTCAGTCTTCAGATCACTTACAGACACAGAGGAGTTCATGGTGCTGTTTTGTCTTTTTAGAGTGATTTAAAAAACAGTTTGTGCTCCTTTCCTGGTTACTGAACCTTTACTCTTAGTTTTTCTTTGCCAGTTTTGACTTTGGTGCTACATAAAAACTTTGTATTTCACATTTTATGAACAGTTTATGAGAGCAGAGCAGCCTCCAGCTTTGAATCCATCACTGGAGGTTTAACAACATTGTTAGGAAACAACAGCTAACTGATGACTCATTGATTATATGTTCATAAATGTATAAATATGGAAATGTAAAGATGTCGAAATAAGTAAACTGTTGAATATAAAGATCCGTTAATTACCTGATTTAATTTATTTATTTAAAAGAAAGAACTTTTTGATTTTCAAGTCCAATTATGTGCTAATGATATATTTTTGTTTGAACAGCTCCTCCTAAGCCCACTGTGACACTGCAGCCATCTTGGCCTCAGATATACAGCGGTGAGACAGTCACAGTCAGATGTGAGATTCAGGGAGGTGAAGGAGCTCAGTGGACGTATGAATGGAGTCCAGCCAAGTTAAACACACCTCCAACATCCAATGAATACACAATCAGCAGTGTTAGTGAGTCTGATGGTGGAGGATACAGCTGTCGGGCCACAAGAGGCTCTTCCTGGACAGAGTGGAGTGATGTCATCACACTGAATGTAAAACGTAAGTTGGAGATATTTCACTCACACTATGTGTTTTTAATTTATATTGTAACACACCGAAGGCTTTTTTGTTTATTTGTTGTTTATTATCAAAAGTAGCAAAAATGGCTTTGATAAAAATTAACAGTAAAGACTCAAAGTTAAACATCTGAAGTATGAAAAAGATTTTGTTATATTGTTATATGTTATAATATTTTTATATTTTTAATGTTGAATTTCTTATCTATAAAATAGTGTAGAAGACATTTCTTACTTCTTAAATTACTGTTTGTAATTATGCTATTAAATAGTGGCAGTTATAACATAAGTAATTCTTTGGATATACATTTTTAAACAAAGTAAAACAAATTAAAATGTGTCTCTGTGCTGAGACCTGGTGGAACTCAAAAAGGTTTTAATTCTTTCAGCTGACTGAAAGCTCTCACCACCTGCAACAGTCACAGGCAGCTTCCTGCAGGAACCTGGTCACAGCAGAGGTCTTGCATCTATTTGAACCCTTTTATATGCCAACACCTCACTGCTGATATTTATGGCATCTCTGAACTATAATTATTTATGGTGGATCTGTCTCCTCCTGTGCTTGTTTATCATCCCCTCAAGTTAAACAAGGATTTTATTTCCACCCTTTTATTTGGAATCATATAAAGATTTGACAGCATTCTAACTCTTGGGGATTTTAATGTTTGCTGCCCATCAAACTCCTATAAACACCCTTCCAAAAGATGACATGAGTTTTACAGTCTATTTAAAAGTTTTGCTAGACTGCTGTGATGACATAAAATCATGGTTGGCAATTCATTTTTTTGAATGTAAACGATCAAAAAAATTGTATTATTTGAACCTTCAGACCCTCGTTTTGCTCGTGTAACCTTGTTCCTCTGAAAAAGTTCAGAACTCTCTTTGAAAAAAATCTGCAGGTGATCCTTGATGACAGTTTCTCATTTGAGAAATAAATAAATTGTGTTGTAAAAGGGTTCGGGCATTTGCAAAAATGACGTTCGTTATGTCATCTGCTCACTTTAAGAAAGTAATTCCTGCATTTATTTCATCCATTCTTGTGTAATATGCTTTATTTTGGTAGCAGCCAGGCTATAATGATTATTTAATCGTTTGTTTTTAAGTCTTTGAATGGATTCACTCCCTCGTAGCTCTCTGATCTTTTAAATAAACAAACTCCAAACAGAACTCTAAGGTCAGCTGAAAAGTTGCTTCTATTTGTTCCTGGAAGCAGACTAAAACACAGGCTAAGACTAAGACTGGGCCTTTGTGATTGTTTTGCCTGAACTTTTGGCACAGTTTGCCCTTCAAATTACTCTTTGATTACCAAATAAATAGTGTGCAGAAAAAAAATACAATTCCCAAGGGGCCTCCCTCAACTGGACACATTTGACATAAAAGACTCAGCTCCTCCTTCAGATATCAGTGGGCTGGTTCAATTTCAGGAGTGTGGGTGCAGAGGCAGTGGGACAGCTAAGCCTGAGCCAGAGGTTTGATCTGTTTGTCTTGCCAGCAGGTCAGCAGATAAGTGATTTAGCATATATATGTACAAAGGGTCTGACTGCACCAACTAACTGCATGTTGACTAAAAACACACAAACACATTGTTTTCTGTTAGAAGTGAAGTAAGTTGACTAATAGTAGGAAAGCTTTTCATGCAGACTTCCTCTGAGTTTAATTTCCACCTGTCTCACTTTTCTTTTTTGAAAAACAGACCTTACTTCTAACAGACCCATCCTACAGTCTCTTTGTCCTCAATATTTTGTGGTGATAGGTTAATAATTTTTATCACTTTTCTTCCTCTTACGGTGCCCCTGCCTAGATTACTGCAACAGTCTAAGCAAACAATCAGCTGAATGACTGCAGACCAAACAGATTTAAGCTGCCAGGCTTTGAGCTCAAACACATCACATAGGATCCCAGCACTCCCATTTTTCATACTGGCTCCCAGCTTCACGCTGATTTTAACCTCAAAGTAAATGTAAAGCAGAAAAATCTGTGAGTTTTGGAGTATAAATAAAATATAACTTTACAAAGTAAATTCTAATACATTTTATATTAAAATATTGTGTTACAGTGTGAAAGCTATAAATTGTTTTATTGTGACTTTGTTTTGATTTTCAGACTTCAAACTGTCTGTGAATCATTTGCTTTGCATTCACTCTACTCTTACGTTATAAACAGCAGAGTTTTCATGTTTCTCTCCTAACTGGATCATTCTTATGTGAACAGTTCCCACTAAGCCCACTGTGACCCTGCAGCCATCCTGGACTCAGATATACTGCGGTGAGACAGTCACTGTCAGATGTGAGATTCATGGAGGTGAAGGAGCTCAGTGGACATATGAATGGAGACGAGGCCAAGTAAACATAGGTTCAGCATCCAGTGAATACAGAATCAGCAGCGCTGCTGAGTCTGACAATGAAGAATACAGCTGCCGGGGTAGAAGAAGCTTTTCCTGGACAGAGTGGAGTGACATCATCGCATTCAGAGTATTATGTAAGTTGGACACGTTTCACACATTTTAATTTATACTGCACAATGTTTCATCCAAAAACACAACAAAATTCTTTGTATTGCGACAACACAACAGGTTTTGTTTTTAATTTTGTGTGATTATTTGGATATATTGGAGGTTTAACAGCATGGTTTGCAAACAACAGCTAACTTACAGCTCATAGGTTACATGTTCATAAATGTATAAATAAATGCAAATATGTAGAAATAAATAAACAGTCAAATATAAAGATCAGTAAATTACCTGGTTTAATTTATTTAATAAAAACAAAACATTTTATTGTTGATTTTCGAGTCAAATTATCAGTGTGCTAATGATATCTGTTTATTTGAACAGCTCCTCCTAAGCCCACTGTGACCCTGCAGCCACCTTGGCCTCAGATATACAGCGGTGTGATATACAGCGGTGAGACAGTCACTGTCAGATGTGAGATTCAGGGAGGTGAAGGAGCTCAGTGGACGTATGAATGGAGTCCAGCCAAGTTAAACACACCTCCAACATCCAGTGAATACAGAATCAGCAGAGCTACTGAGTCTGACAGTGGAGAATACAGCTGCCGGGGTAGACGAGGTTCTTTCTGGACAGTGTGGAGTGACGTCATTACATTGACTGTCTTATGTAAGTTGAACATATTTCTCTCATTTTAATTTCAAAAACAAAACAAAATAATTTCATCAGTACTGTGCTTCTGGGGTATTTGTTAACACAGTGGAGTGACATCATCACACTGACTGTGTCATGTAAGTTGGGCATATTTCACCTTTTTTTTAAAAAAAATTTCTATTGCACAACGTTGGATGCAAAAACAAGAAAATATCACGTCTTTCAATAAAACTGCAGGCTTTCTTCTCATTTTAGTATCAAAAGTAGCGTAAAACAAGTTTTAAAGTGTGGTATCGCAAGAAATTAGTTGGTTAAATATATGAGTATGCATAATAGTTATTATTCATAGATACCTACATCCTAAGTTCCTGTTATTCATCTGAAAGAAAAAGAATGAGTGTGTCGTTACAATGGTAATGCCAGGAGAGCCAGTAGTGGTTCTGTGTTACATTAATGTTGTAAGGAAGTGGAAGAAGAGTGTGTCCTGTAGGAGGCAGTAGAAAATGGATACTCATGTTCTGTACATGCACTGAAAAGAAGGTTCAGTAAACCAGTGTCAACGATACTTCATTGTTAGTCTCAGTTATTTTATTTCTATTTTTTGAAGATGCAACATAAAGTTTTACATAAAATCCACAGCAATCACTCACAGTGAAACTGTTATGATACGGCTGTGTGGCAGGGAGGATGTAGGACACAAACGCAAAACAATCATCAGAGCAATGAACTTAAAAGGCTGCTTTATTGCAGCGGTATAATTTTCACGAAAAGAAAAAAACTTGCAAAAACAAAATGAAACAAAAAACTGGGAACTAAAAACAAAAACACTGGGAAACCTGTAAACTAGTGACACTGATCTCAGGGAGCACGGAAACACGCAGCATGGTGAGGGGACGACGTGACACTGACAGAGAGAAACACGGGTCTGAAATACACTGAGTGAAACGAGGGAATGAGACACATGAGGGGAGAACAGTCGAGACCAGGGTGAAGCAAAACTAGAAACAGTGACAAAGGACAAGAGACCGTCAAAGTAAAACAGCAAGTATAACACAGACACGGACGAGACACTGAACATAGTGAACACGGAGCACAGAGACCAGAGAGACAAAAGACACGACTAGGGTGGGTTTTGATTATCTATTTTCCGATTAAAATCGATTCTAGCTTGAATAACGTGATATTGATTCAATAAAATCCTGAATCGATTTTCTAAATATAAATGTATTTTGCCCGAAACGCCAGAATCTCAGGTTAAACTACAAGATTTCAACAGCCACCAACCAGCTAAAACAGTAAATGAGAGCAGGCACCTGCTGTGATGCTCACACCTTTGATAAAGTCTCAACTTTTATAGATATAAAAATATGGATATGTACTGATAAGTGATCAGAATTATAATATTTCTGACTGTCTGAGGCAAAATTTCCCACATTCAAATCAAATCGACTTCTAGAAATCAGTGACGATACCCAACCCTGGACATGACTGACTGGGGAACAAGAAAATACAGTGTCCCCTCGTTTATGTCAGGAGTTAAATTCTAAAAGTAATCCACGACAGGTGAAATCTGCGAAGTAGCCAACTTTATTTTTTACAATTATTATAGATGTTTTAAGGCTGTTAAACCCCTCACTACACACTTATTCACTTTTCTCAGACAGGCACGAACATTTTCACAGTTTTCTCTCTTGTTTAAACTCTCAAAGTTCAAACCTTCTAGAAAAATAAGTCCAAAATTAAAGAATGAAACCAAAGGCACCCACGGTTGCCTTTGACGGTGCAACACGTTTTGTCGCCAGTGTTGTGTTTGTTGGGGAGAAAACTTACAAACATACAGTGCAGCACTTCAGAGTCACACTGCTAGCGATCAAAGATTTATGTAAATTTGACAAGCTGAACGCATTCTGTACTGGACAGCAGCGGTCCTTTATCGCAGGCTTTCTTTCACATTGAGAGTAAGATCCTCCTCCTCTCTCCCTGATGCTCGCTGATCGCTATGGTAACACGTAAATATTTCTTTCAAAATAAGAGACAAAACTACAAAAAGATAAAAAATAAAGTACATGAAAATATATAATTCACCATAACGCTGAATCAGTGAGAGCCCTGTGCTTGTTTCTCTGCAACGAGCCGGTCCCACCTGGGCATAATGGGGGACAGTGACACCTGAAGTGTGTTGCTTTTGCTCAGTCTGCGCCGCAATTTTGTTTTGGAAGCTGTAACTGCAGAAAACTCCGCTTCACACAGTTATGATGTCGGAAATGGCAACAGGGTTTTTAGTGCTGTTGTGGCAATCTCGGGGTATTCTCGGGCGACACCGGCAAAGCTCATAATTTACTCATAACAGCCAGGAAAAGATCCAGGGAAACCGAGTTAACAATAAAAACTCTGAAAACCATAAATTTTACACTCCAGCCTCAACTCTCGCTGCCCGGTACCAAATGACTCACGGTCCCGGCGAGGCCGCGAAAGGTGAATTGCATTGTAGCGAGGGAGAGACCACTGTAATACAAAATCAAAACACTGGTTCACAGACCCAGGACTGTGACAGAAGCATGTGGAGTTGAAAGACATATTCAGTAAATTTCATTAAAAAAAATGAAACACAAATGTAATGATCCCAGTTTATTCAGCTCAGTTGCTGCACATGTGGATTTTTCACCAGTTTTCAGCAGAGTGGAAGCAGGCAGTGGTTTAACCCACTTTTGTTTAACCCAGTTTTCTCCTGTTTTGTGGACAGCCAGGGAGGTCAGGCATTGCATCTTCCTTTTCTTGATCAGGGAAGTTTTACCCTGTGTTTTGTTTCTAGGAAGGGGGAGAGTTTTTGTTTGTTATTTTGGCCTTGGAGAGCCTGATGCTTTTAGCTTCCTGGCTCAGCTGTGTTTATTGTGAGTCTTTTCCTTTTTTTTCAGCTTTGTAAAAATAAACCTCGTCAATTCAGCAGCAGCTGTGTGGTTTTTGCGTGCGTTACACACTTTTCCCGTGTTGTTTTGCGTTTCTGTTTTGAGGGGCGTAACAGTCGTTAAATTCTTTCTACATGGTGTTCCTAATGTGAGTGAATAATCCAGCTGTTAGCACAGGCAGTTTACAACATAGGACACATATTAAACAGGTCAATACTGATAGATAGATAGATAGATAGATAGATAGATAGATAGATAGATAGATAGATAGATAGATAGATAGATAGATAGATAGATAGATAGATACTTTATTGATCCACAAAGCAAATTGTGTTAGAGCAGCATGATAAAAAGTGAAAATAGGGCCTTACACTATGAGACGGCGCAGGAACTTTTATATTTACAACAGTGAAAAAGAAAAGTAAAAATTACATTTGTTAAAAACAGTTAAAGTAAAACTGATATTGTGTATAATATGTTAGGGATTTTATACCTGACAGGAAAGTAAGGTCTCAGGTTATTCAGAAGAATAACAGCCCAATGACAACTCTGGATTATATGCTCATAAATATGCAAATGTAAAGATGTAGAAATAAGTAAATAGTGCGATGTTTGAGTATAAAACTTCTTTTTTACAATGTACAATCTGAGAGACTGAAGTTGTTTACATGATATTGTGTGTTGATGTTCAGTCGCACAGATTTGTGCACACCTGGTTGTTTCCAGTCACTTTGCTGGTAGATTCTTAATATCAGCAAATTAGGTTTAAGGTTTAATCTGATTTTTTTTTATGACCTTTTTATTGTTGATTTTCAGTCAAATTGTCACTGGGGTGAAAAAAACGTTATTACCCCTAACAAGAGCAATAAAACCAGGAAAGCGTCAATGATCGTTTTATATTTCTATAAGTCTGATGATGGGATATTTTCTCTTTGAACAGATCCTCCTAAGCCCATTGTGACCCTGCAGTCATCCTACACTCAGATATATGGAGGAGAAATATACAAAGATACCTCAGTCACTGTCAGATGTGAGATTCATGGAGGGGAAAGAGCTCAGTGGATGTATGAATGGAGACGAGGCCAGAAAAACATACGTGGAACATCCAGTGTATATACAATCAACAGAGTTACTGAGTCTGATGGTGGAGGATACAGCTGTCGGGGCAGAAGAAGCTCTTCCTGGACAGAGTGGAGTGACAGCACCTCATTGAAAGTAATAGGTAAGTTGGACATATTTCAAATATTTTAATTTGTACTGAACAATGTTTCATCAACTCAACCAAACGTTTTGTATTTCAACAGCACTGTAGGTTTATTTTGTGTTTAGGATCAAAAGTAGTTTAAAATATCTTTTAGTGTCATTATAAAGATATTTAATAATCACTCAGTGAAACATCTGGAAAATATTTTGTTAGTTTGATGAAAGAATTCAGTCCAAATGTAATAATCCCAGTCGCTCCCATCTTGACCTCATGGCTGCACATGTGGAGTTTATCACTGCAGATCAGTTACTTCCTTTGTTTTTAGCATTTTTACATTAATTCCTCGACGTTTCAGGTTTGGCTACAATATAACCTCATTTTATGTCACGGTTCGCTTGAGGACTCACACGCAGGACTCAGAGGCACAGTCAGTATTTCTTACAGTTCCACCAGGTGTATATACAAACAGTGCAGGGGATAGTGCTATATACAAAGCGGTGACAGGGAAAGGGCTCTGGGGAAATCCAGGTAGGGAAAAGACACTTGCTCCTCTTCTGGCTCTCTCTCCAAACACTCACACAAAAGGGAATCCACTCGGGGAATGCAGGGTCGGGTCCAGGGGATCTATGTACAGAAGGAAACACACGTTAGACGTTTTGCACAGGGCAGCAAAAGAGAACTTGCTCAGAGCCGGGCTGCACTGACGCGAGTCACACACAACGATCCAGCGATGAGTAGAAGCCACTCCCTGTCTTAAATGCTGGCTGCGCTGATGAGGCCCAGGTGTTTCCTCTTCAGAGGGGGCGTGGGCCGAGGGCGTGAACCCACCATGAGTTCCGCCCTGGCGAGAGAGCGAGAGAGAGAACACTACTAGTCAGCGGCCTGCTGATCCCCTGGCCGTGACATTTTATTAGAGACTGTTCTGCTACATTACAGGTTCCACTTAGATTCTTTCCTGTAATTGTTGTTAATGGCATTTGTTTATTTATTTATTTTAATTAATGAAAAATAAAGGTGTTCATGAGTGTCATAATATGTTTAATGATACGACAGCTAGAAGAACCTCCAGTGTAGAACAGATGCATTAGTGGATCAGTGGTTCAGTTCATGGAAAATCAGTCAGAGCCACAAGAACCTGTTTGTTATACAATAACTACAAGTGTGACAAGTGTGTCCCAAATCAGCAACTGCACCAGTTTCACATGATGACCTCATCACAACTTTTAGAAAATGTTTCTCAAATGATGATTTCTTCCAGTCTTCTTAATCTGCTGTAAACTCATGAAAAATAATCTGTAACTTTTTGGAATCTGAACAAAAACTGTGCAAAGTAAAGACTTTACCTTTTACATTTTACTGAAAATATTGTGTTACAGTTTGAAACTTTTATGTTGTGACTTTTTGTTATGTTTAACTTGTTTCTCTGTGAATCAGCTGTTTTGTAATGACTCTACTCTTATGTTATAAACAGCAGAGTTTTTATGTTTCTCTTCTAACTGGATCATTCTTATGTGAACAGTTCCCACTAAGCCCACTGTGACCCTGCAGCCATCCTGGACTCAGATATACAGCGGTGAGACAGTCACTGTCAGATGTGAGATTCAGGAAGTTGAAGGAGCTCAGTGGACGTATGAATGGACTCCTGCCAAGTTAAACACACCTCCAATATCCAGTGAATACAGAATCACAGTTACTGAGTCTGACAGTGGAGGATACAGCTGCCGGGGCAGAAGGGACTATTTGTTAACAGAGTGGAGTGATACCATCAGACTGACTGTATCATGTAAGTTGATCACATGACAGGACATTTTAATGTTCACCACACTTATTTATTTTTCAGGGAGTTGGCAACCCTAGGTGGTGGTGATGTGTCCGGCTGCCAGCGGGAGAGCTGCAGCCGTTGAATGTACTGTTACAGCAACTGTGTGATTATTGTAAGAATAAATGATGCTGCAAAGCATGAAAATGCCATCGGGTCTGCCGTGGTGGCGATCTTTTTTCTTTTTTTTTTTAAGTGCACGCAAACCAGTAAACAAATTAAAACAAATACTGTTGATGAACTAATACAAAAATTACAATTAAAATTCTCAACAACAAAAACAGGAAAATATAATTAATATGTAAACAACTTAACAACCCCCAAAGTGTCTAAGTCACATGACGTGTCAGTGCAACACCGAAACATAAGAGTGGGGGAAGAGGGAGCAAAGTGCTCTCCGCTGTCACAGGAGCGCTGAGTCCAGTGGACCTGGTTGTTTCGTTTTTGCCGAAAGCACAGCATAGCAAACAAGCAGAGTTCAAAGTAAAGAATCGATCTTACCAGGCTAGTATCGATCCGAAACCGATTCAGACTTGGTATTGATATTATCGATATTTGGATCGATCCGCCCACCACTAACAGAAAGAGCTGAACGCGCTGGGCAGAAATGAGAAGCGCAAGCAACACATTGCGAGCAAACGCAAATGCAAAAACAGAGCAAAAGGGGCTGCTATTGGTGTGTGTGTGGATAACAACAAACACTGAAATACATTTTTGCACGCAGCAATTCATTTTGTTCACTCAAATTTAGCTTTTCTTTCCTCAAAATCAAATTCTTCTCAAAATGCAACACTTGCACCTGCAAAGGTAGCACATGTGGATACACTAGCACACTTTTCACAGGGCTAACTCATCGAAGACATCGTTAACAGCTTCTACAATCACATAGAAGCTGTTTTATAAAGTTTTATAAATTAGAAACCGGACTGTGAATCAAATTTAATTTGCACAATCAGAGACTCACCGGAGTTAATTTATTGCTCACACAATACATGAACTCTGTAGCTCAACACGTTACAGGATTGCAAGTTCCACATGGTAAATGGACTGGTTCTTTCTACTCTCCTGGAGTACTCAAAGCGCTCTATACAACACACCCATTCACACAGGCATTACTATCTATACTTTAAGTGCTTTCTAACTATCAATCATACGCATTCATACGCCATAAGTATCTTGCCCAATGATATTTGGCATGCAAACTAGGGGAGCCAGGGATCGAACCACCAACCCTTCTGAGCTACAGCCACCCCACCACAGCAGTTTTGTGCATCTGCAAAACAAAATCAGTGCTCAAAACTATGTTTCATGGGGTTCTTTTACCCTTTAAACACAGTGCAATATACAAAAAAATTTACCTTGCAGCATGCAGAGAGCTGCAGTGAAAGAAAGTTAACATGAGCAGTGCAGCGGTGCATTCATGGTACATGGGAAAACTCAATACTTCACTAAAGATAAAACAAAATTAAAATAAAATAACAACCAATAACCAATAATACATACCAGGACCAGGGTGAACTTTGAACTTGTAGGTGGGAAACAGAAGACACAGAAATATACAATCAGTTTCCAGTTTACATTAATTTATGCATCTGAAAACCAGAATAAAATATTTAAATAAAATTAAACAATATGTAAAAATCTCTCTTTCTGTCTAGTTCAGGTTAGTTTGAACTCTTACCTGTGTGAACTACAAGTTAACCTGTGTTAGCTCCTACAGGGTTAACCAGCTTTCTTTCAGCTGCTCTTCAAACTTTGATCAATATGAGTCGACTCAGTGGACTGGTGGAGTCGTATCACAGTTCAGAAGTGTGAGTCAGTTTCCTGATCTCTGGAATATGAGTTGATCCAGCAGGAACAGATGATTTCAGTGGAAGTTCAGATCTCCTAGGCGTGGATCACCGTCAAGATTCAACAGTCTCAGATTTCAGTTCTGAGATCTGCTCTCGGCTGATAAAACTGATCTGTTTTGCAACACAAACACTGGAGTCTTATTCTCACATGTTCAAAGTACAATCAGATCATATTAACCTGGGTTACTTCCTCATTATTGATCAATAAACTCAGTCATGCTTCAAATTAATTATTTGAAATGTGCATGTACGTAATAAATGAAAATACACAAAAGTAAATAAAAAAAATTCACTGTTTTGATCAAAACAGAAATACAGAATATTTTGTGTGGCACAGTTTGTTTTATCTCAACTATGGTTTTGTGATATTTGATCATTTACATTTTTCCATCTTTAAATTGTTCTGATTCAGTCATTTTTACTTTTATGTTCTTGTTCTAAACTGAACTGCAGCGAAACCAAAGCCTGAACTGAGAGCTGATAGGACAGCTGTTCCAGTAGGGGGCAGTGTGACCCTGACCTGCTCTGTGAACCCATCATCATCATCATCATCATATGGATGGAAATACTACTGGTACAGAGATTGGAAATCTTATCAACCTGTGACAAATGAACAAATCAGTGTCTCAGAGGGAGGACTCTACAGCTGCAGAGGAGGAAGAGGAGAACCAGTTTACTACACAGAGGACAGTCAGCCAGTTTGGATTGACACAACTGGTGAGTGTAAATGTAACTTCCTACAAAGCACTACATCTGATGGTAACTGAACCTTTTGTCTTTCATGTGTTTTTATTGTACTTTCTTGAACATTAACAGTCTCAATCAGACCTGTTGTGACTCTGCATCCAAACTGGTCTGAGATATACAGAGGAGAGACGATCACTGTCAGATGTGAGATCCATGGAGGAGACACTGAGTGGGATTATGAGTGGGAAACAAACAGCATCAGAAAACTTCCAAATCTAAATGAATACAGGATTAGATCTGCTTCATCATTGATCAGTGGAAACTATCGCTGTAAGGGCAGAATGAAAAGTTCACAGCATGAAACAACAGAGTGGAGTGATTCAGTCACACTGACAGTTTCTGACAGTAAGTCATGTTTGCTTTAAGCTGTTTGAACACTTTGTAAAATGTGTTTCTGTTCATATAGACTGAGATTATTATTCTTTGTATAAACTGAGCTCACTGTTCAGAGACTGTACTACATGTTCACTGAGAGAAAATCTTTGTTGAACAGATGAACCCCGTCCTGTCCTCACTGTGTCTCCATCATGGCTGAGTCCTGGAGCCTCAGTAACTCTGAACTGTGAGGTTGAACATCCGTCTGCAGGATGGAGCTTCTACTGGTATAAAGCTGTTCCTGATCTGAAAACATTCAACTATAAATCCTCCAGTTATGAGCTACTACCTGATGGCAGTGGGACTGCACAGGACTCCTACATCATTCATGGACAGACACACACAGCAGGATATGTGTGCAGAGCTGGAAGAGGAGACCCAGAGTATCACACTGATCACAGTCAACCAAAGTTTGTCTGGTCTGCAGGTCAGTTTGTTTCTCTCTGTCCTTTCAATAAGTTCATGTTAGGTCATCATTTTTATTCAACAACATTTAGACCATTAAAATCTCATCTCCATGACAACCATTTATCTCCGTTTATATTAAAACTTCCCAAAAGAACAAATGAACTGAATGTTTTCCGTTCTCTCTGTGATCAAACCAAACTGAATTTCTTCGTTTCCTTTTCTTATTTTTCAGTTTTTATTTAATGAGATAACATGAAAAACAAAAGACATCTATGAGATTTTAAATGTTTTGATATTTAAACTCATGTTTCTGTTTGTACTGATTATTTTTACTTGGTGCACAGACAGGATTTACACAGTTAAGACTCTTTGTTTAGTGCTCAGGTAGGTGCTCAGATAAAAAAGTCAAATATAGTTAATAAAGAAACAAAGATGTCAGCAGGCAGGTTAACAGCTCTGACAAATACAAGAGAAACACTGACTACAGATGGACGCTAGAAGAAGACGTCACAAATAACAGCTGCTGTTATTGTTCATTTAAAATATACTTCAAAGGTTTTTAGTTTTGGTCCTGCTGCTGCAAAATATCTCACTGTAGAAGGAATCTGTGAAACAGACAATATCACAGAATTATGACAGAAACATTACAGCAAATGACTGAAGTGTGTTCAGAGTGATCTGTATCAGGTGGATGATGCTGAGAGTGATGACTCAAAGCTCATGATGTCACATGACCTGTACCAAGCTCTACATGAGCTGCCAGCAGATAAAGCATGTGGGTTAGATCATCTTAAACATGTCAGTATTCGGCTCCTTTGTTTTCCATTGATTTGACTGTCTGTGTGATTCAGGGCTTGTTGTCAGACTCAGTGTTGTCTCACCAAACAAACACTTTATCATATTGAACTATTAAATTTGATTTTCAAAACAAAAGCTTCAAACAAACAAATATTTTCACTGTGATATTTTGAATCCTAACATCTGTGAGCTTTGTCTCTTCACTGCATGTTGTTTCCAGATGTTCATTCAGCAGCGTCTCTCACAGTGAGTCCTGACAGAGTGCAACACTTCACCTCTGACTCTGTCTCACTGACCTGTGAGGGAAACTTCACTGAGTGGAGAGTGAGGAAGTTCCCTGAGGACGGCCGACTCTCTGACTGTAGGAGAATGACTGGATCCACATGTAACATCAGTTACATATTAAAGTCAGATACTGGAGTGTACTGGTGTGAGTCTGCATCAGGAGAGTTCAGCAGTGCAGTCAACATCACTGTACAAAGTATGTTATTATACATTTACTACTTGGATCTGAACGATTTAGATGTCACATGAACATTTGTGCCAGCTTTGCTGAATGTGAAGTAATTATTTGTGGCAACACAAACAAAAATTAAAATCTGAGACAATTTTAGGCAACGAAGCATCAAAATATTCTTGGATGTTGGTCTAATTTCTCTTCATCCTTTTATAATCCAGTTTGTCATAATTTGCCAACAGTATTTTTATTTTCTCTGTCAGAATAAAACTCAACAAAGCTCAACATCTCTGTCATCAGATTAGATGAACCTTTAATATCTCAATTCAGAGAAATTTGTGAAACACATCATGCAAAATAACACAAACAGACAAACATTTACAATTTCACCTTTAACCATTCAATAATGTCACCATCAGTAATTTGACTCCTGCAGGAAACATCCCAACTATATTTCCAGTCCTCATAATCACTCAGAAAACCAGGTCTGCATGTAGATCATGAGACACGACTCACAGCTTTTTCTAAAAGTGTGCACCAGCTGATGTGACTGAAACAATATGTTTGTTTTTTTGTTTTCACAGATTATTATTATTATTATGATGATGGTCCTATCCTGGTGAGTCCTGTTCATCCTGTGACTGAGGGAGCTTCTGTTAGTCTGAGCTGCATTTTGAAAACACAAAAAATACTTTCCAATGTGTTTTTCTATCACAATGACAAACTTATTCAAAATGATCCCCGAGGGGAGCTGAAGATCTCTGCAGTGTCAAAGTCTGATGAAGGTTTCTACAAGTGTCAGTACTCAGGAAGAGAGTCAGCACAGAGCTGGATGTCAGTTAAAGGTGAGCAGGATCAAAACATTTGATGGATTTTAATGGATTTCATGCTTGAGAAATAACATGATATTATCTCTTTTAATGTTTAAATCCATCTGGGTCTATTTAGTCAGAACTTTATAAAACTATTATGTAATATTTCTATATTGTCAGGTTTAATATCGTTGTGATTCAGGACTCAGGTGAAAACAGCAGAGGATGTAATCAGTCAGTTTCTTTATTCAAACAAAGGATAATTCATTTAACACAACAGATTGCAAACTTCGACTCAGTCAACAAGAACAAAACATAAATGAACTTAAACTTAATGAGCGAGTCCTACAAAAACATCTTAACTGAAGTGAGAGAGACAGGCCAGAGGAGCGGACATAACAGCGTGAGGGCGGCAGATCTGTGGGAGAGGAGAGAGCAGTTAGGGCAGGAAATCTGAGAGAATGTGACAAGACAGAGAGTGTTCATAAAGTGGCTGCAACAATGCCTTACTTGGAGTCCAGACTAGCTGGGGGTAAAGGATAAAGCAGAGGTCTGTGGAAACTGCTGAATAATGGGCAGGCAGGCAAGTGAGGAAGAGGCTCCGAGGGGGCAGCGGTGGTGGTGAATAGGGGGTAATGATCCAAGGTGGCAGGCGTCTGACTGGAGGTGAATGATGGCATGAAAACAAATCTTGAAGCAGGAAGAAACTGAAACAAGGGGAAAATCTGTTAGCATACAAATCTTATTTTCCTAGAAAGGATCCTCGGAGACCTGCCTGGTTACCTCACTGACGAGCTGCAGTCATGTTAACTATCCATTAACATTTGGCTTACAGCCACCGAGGTCTTCAAGGTCAACTTTATGACTAAAAAAATCCTTATAACACAGAAACTATGATTCTTACAAAGGTGTTGTGTCTTGTCAACATATAGAAAATACTGTATAAAGATTTAAAATATCATGTTAGGTTTGACCTCTGACCTCACTTTTACATTTCACATCTGCCCTTGTTGTCATGTTGAAAAAATCTGCCTTTGGACTTATTTTCACTGAACTACAAACTTCTCACAGTACAAATAAAACAAAATAAATACACAGAAAATACAATATTGTTTCCTTAAAAGTAAATGCTGTCAACAGAGTGAGCTGCCTTAGCAGAGATTTGTGCTCTCAGAGTTCTTCTTTTACACTTTATTAATAATTAATTATTGTTTGTTGTTGCAGTAACTGTGTCTGGAGCTGACAGCTCTTCATCTCCTGTGTGGTTGATGGTTGGACTGGTTTGTGGAGTCTCTCTCATTATTATTCTCCTGCTCTTGTTGTATCGCTGCAGACAGTCCAAGTGTAAGAGCCTCTTCTTTTCATGCTGTATTAGAGAGTTTATTTACTACATGCACTTTAATTATTCACACATATACATGTATTCTGATCTCATGACACAAAATATCAGTGGAACAATTCATACATGACAAACATGTGTAATAACATTTGTCTCTTTCACAGATTCCTGCTTCACCAGGTTGGTAAAATACTTTTTATTATTATTTTAAACATACATCAGTTACGTTTGATTTTATTGTGATTATTTCATATTTTAGGCCTATTCAGTCTGAGATTCCCAGTCCGAGCTCCTCCACAAATCATGGAGTCAAACAGAAGGAAACTCATGAGTACGACTCTGTTCATCCTGGTCAGTATTTAATCCATCTTTATTATCATTATTAATATTGACTTTTATATCGGTCCTCATTAACAGTAACAGTTTTTAGATTAACTTTGTGCTCAGCGGCTTTTAAGAGAATATTTGTCAAAATCCAGTTGGACAAACATCCAAACAGTAAACTGACACATAAAATGAGAAACAAAAATAATTTTACAAACCTGATTGTGTCTTTAACTCGACTGAAAAAATCCATAATGTTATTGTTTCATATCAGAACACCACAAACAGTAACAACATTATGGTTTTACTGTCTGAAAACATCTTACAGTCCTGGTTTTGACTTAAACATAATTATTTAAACTCTCCTCTCCAGGTTTTTATTAAAATGATTAATGTGACCCTGGTTTGTCTTTCTTAGGTACTAATAACCTCTATGAATCTGTTAGCCAAGTGGAAGACAACAGAAATGGTGCAGTATATGTGCTGAAAAGCACAGAGCAGTCAGAGATGAAACTTGTTTTTGATTTAATGAAACTAATTCCATGTGACATGTTTACAATCCTGTAACTAAAATATGAACATTTCAGGATCAGATGAACATCAAGATGTCACATACTCTCTTATTGAACTTAAAAACGTTGAAAAGAAGAGTAAGTACATAAAACATGTGCAATTAAATGTAAATGTAATGTAAAATAAAATAAATAAATATTTTAAAAAATCTAACAGTTAATTATTTTCTCATGATAAATAATCTGATCATCTTCACAGGGAAGCATCATAAACCAGAGCAGAGTGCTGTTTACTCTGAGGTGAAGACGGGAGCTGCAGGTACGGTCACAACAGTCTCACTCAGTGTTTGTACTGAAATGTGTCATTTCATTATGTTGCAGCTAATTATAGGTCAACCTGGAGTTTAGTTATTCCCTTACCAAGCTTAGCTGCTACACATCAGCAGAGTTAATCTGCAGTCATTTAGGGTTTTGGTGGGTTAGTCATTAAATCAGGTGTATTTGTTTAACATGATACTGTGTTGTTGTGTTGTGTTCTACAGACACGCTGTAGAAGTCAAACAGATTTAATGAGTGATTCAGAAACACAGCAGGTCAGAATGTTTGCAAAGAACGAAGAAAACTCAAAACAAACTTCTTCCACAGTTTGAGTTCAGTCTCTTCCTCAGATCAGAGGTTAATCTCTAATCTAAGGCCTTTGATCAAAGTCTTTAATCTGGGAGGCAAAAAAACTCCCCTTTCAGCTGGATTTACTGAATCACAGCATCCAGAGCTTCTGAACTAGACCAACGATCACAAACCAAACACCATCAAATAACACATAATCTGAGTGTGCTCGATCACTGGAGGCACAGCAGAGCACTGTTTAAGATGGTTGTTTGATACAGGAAAGTATTGGATGTGCCAATAGCATGGAAAGTGTGTGTATGTGGAATAGATGTAGGGCATATAAAATATGAGTAAGGGATGAAAGAAGGGAGAGATGCAGACGGGCAGATAAGTATGAATGGAGCTGTTTGGGAAGGTTCGAGGTTCTTTTTGTAGTTTGCTGCAGATGAGTAACATCGTAAGCAAACACTGTGGAGTTCACAGTCAAAAGTTTCAGTTGAACAATCACTGTGGACTTATGAACTGAAATGATCATTTTTTGTCTCACAAAAGAGTTGGAAGACTTTGTACTGTGTTACTGCTTCCTCATTTGGACTTTCATGCACAGGATGGAGAGGAGTGCAGCACTGATTACCCCTCTCCTCACCTCCACACTATATCTGAAATCAGCGATAGCACTGAGTAGATTAGTTATATTTGGATAAAATTTAGGTGAATGAATCAAGTGATTATTACTAGTTGATTAAGGTTTTTGTTTTGCTAATTTGCTTAAATAAAATATCCTTTGTTCAAAAGTCTAAAGTATTAACTTTTTGTGTAACAGTAAAGGAAACCTTGTGACGTATTACATCTCATACATAGTTCTTACATGCTGCTCTTAGCACTTAAAGTAGTCTGTTCTTTTCTAAAGTAATAATCTAGTGAAACTACAACGAGCGAGAATCATTAAGGGGAGCGTAGCATTAATGCTGTTAATGGCTGCAGCTGACAAATCAGACTTGATCTGCAGAGTTTAAACCACCTCTACGTCCAACAGCTCTGTGTCATATATCTGCTGATCAAATGTATCCTGACTTCTCTCTTAGAGGACAGTCTGATGTATGCTGAGGTCAAACGCCCCAAAAAAGAAAAAGCCAAGAAGAAAGCAGGTAAACAAATTCTGCCATCACCTCCAGTGAATGTTGTTCAACATGTTTATCTGGTCTTAAAATCTTCTTTCCACTCACAGGAAAATCAAGTCCTGCAGCTGATGCAGCAGTTTATTCTGAAGTCACGTTAGGAAGCTTTCCTGGTAATTATGCTGCCATGCAGGATGAGTTATTCTTCAAGTTATTAAATGGCGAACATCCTGAAACTTGGACATTTGTGTTCTTTGTGTTTGTCTTACAGGTCAGTGAGGAGAGCTGCAGCAGCAAAAAGAAGCATTTTATGAATCCACTGTTGCTCCTCTGCTGCCCAAATATCAGACACGCTCACTTTTTAGTGTTTATGAAGATGATATTGAATAATAATATGATATAGATTCTTTTAGCATAAAGCACACAGAGGTGTGTCCTGTTTCAGATCCATGCTCTTTATATGCAGCTGATATTTTTTATTCATTTTTAAGCTTTAATATAAAATTTTGAATGTATCCTGTTCCAATAGCAAGTGAGAAAAAAGTTTTGAAGTCTGTGATTTTTAATACCTGAAAGCAACAACTTAAAGTCAGCAGAGTCACATTAGTGCTGGTATGAACACCAACAAATACGTTTACTGTCTGAGTTTAAAGATCTGCATCATGCAAAAATGAATTATTTGTTATAAAAACATGAAAAAGCTGAGCTTGATTCATTTGATGTCAGATGCTGTGAATTGTATTTTTTATTTAATTTTATTTTAATATTGTTTGCTGTTCTCACTTTTTCTGGATTTAACGTTTTACTTAGGTTATATATTTTAAATGAAGAGCTCTGCGATCAGCTCTGTTGTTTTAAACATATATAAATAAACTTAACCTTGACTTCACTTTCTCTTATATTTTCATCAGAGTAAAGATTTAAGATTGTTTGTGCTTGATTAGATTTTCTGGTTTGGAAGTGGACCACAGAACTCTTCATGATTGGCTGTTTTAAAGTTTTTATTGAAGCTATATTGTGATGTTACCTTTTATTTTTTCAATAAGACGCGGTGCTCTCCATTTAGAAGTACTCATGTAGGTACACATTATTACTATTTCTTATTATTGAAGAAAGAATAAAGGCCTGGTCATCAAAACAAGTTGGTTAGGTCCCAGTAGACATTTGTGTCCAGAGCTCTGTGAGTTGATGATGCAGGCTTGAGTTTTAAAGATGTTGAGGCATCACTGGCTGCCTTTACATTTGTGCTCGTCCCACATGTGGCTTTCTAGAAGAACAAAACACAGCTGGGTCCAAAAATAGCATCAATACAAACTGTGAGGTGCAGCTCTGCTTTCTTTGTCTGTTTGCTTTTAAAATATTATTACTCCTCAATCCAGAAGCAGTGTACACCTGGACAAGTCTCAGTTGTGCCATATGACTATCAGACAGAGACACACAAGCATTCAGGCTCACATTCACACCTACGACCACTTTAGAATTACCAGTTAATCTAACATGCAGGTCCTTGGGCTGTGGGAGGCAGCTGGAGTTCCCAGAGAGGGGCCACGCAGACCTGGGGAAAACCCAGTCAGGACCTTCTTGCTGTGAGGAGACAGTGCCAACCAGCACACTGCTGCCACCTGCTGGTTTCTTATTGCATTACTCTGGAACAGTAATCCCAGGAATGCACGTGTGCAGTTTATCCACACACCTTTTTTGTCCACTAAATGTTACCTGTAAATAATCCCTCACCACTTGAGAGTAACGTCCTCTTTTCAGGTTAAATTGCTGTATAAGTAACATCCATTTCAACATCTTGTTATAATGTAATTATAAAGTCTAGTTGGCTGATTTATTATTTTAGCAGATCTGTAGTTTACAGTCCAAGTTTCATAATTGCTTCTTTTATGTGACCTCATTGTTATGTTGCTCTTTAAGCTGATGTCTTAATTTAATCTGTGATCTTTATTGTTTACAGCCATTGTGCTTTTTTACTGCTATACTGGTCTTTGTTAACTGAGTCCATTTAAAATAATGAGAATAAAACACAGATCAAAATGATGATTGTGGGCTAAAAAGAAAGGAGCCAGTTAAAGTGGTTCATCTGACCAGGACCAGGTGTCTCCTACTATAACCTTCATTCACTGCACATTTCCACAGTCTACTGGATTCTAAAGATTCTGCATGTTTTCCAGACATGTTTCTCCTGGTCATCAGGAAATCACAATATTCAAAGAGTCAGCAGCACATTCAGATCAGATGTCTTTTCTAATCACCTGCATGTCTGGCCTTTGGGATGAGCTTGGATGGAGAAAACACTGAAAACATGAACATAACTTTTATGAGCTGATCATTCAACAGCTTAATAATGAATCTGCTGATGATCTGCTTTGACAGGACTGTGATCAATAAGTCGATGTTATAAGTCGAGACGAGTCAAAATGTTTCCAAATGAAAGAAGAATTATAAAAAAGACTTTCGGAGCAGTTTAGCATGTGAGCAGTGTTACAACCCAGAAGACTGTACACTTATGTTTGTGGACGGAGATGATGAGTCCTCAGTTTACTGGCATCATTGAACCATCTGGGGTGTAGTGGGCTACAGATGCTGAGGACACTGTCAGAGTAATATTTGATATCCCTTTATTTAAAGCAGCCAATGAAGCACCACAGTACAGGAGTTTTACTTTGTTGTTGTTTTGTAGTACTTCATAATACACTATATAGTTGTTGGTGTTATTTCCCACCATTTACTGTGTAACTTTGTGAATTTATGGCATTATTGTATTTAACTGTAGTGAAACCCTACACTCAGAGATCCTGGTCTAACTCCAAAGATCTCCTCTGGAACCACAGCTGCTGACCAAACTTACAGATTTATACTTTGATTTTTTACTTGTTTAAGGAAATACTGCACACTGCTGCTACAGGACCAAAACGCTGCATCACAATGGAGGCTGCTGGTACTTGCCTAACATGATAGCTCATGTACCCCAAGCTCACTGTAACTGCATCATGTCTGAATGTCAACAATACAGCAGTGCCCGACTCTTTAAACCTACAATCTCGACCTCAGCTGCTTCTACAGCTTTAAACACAGCACTTTCAGACTCTCAGGGCTCATATCAGTCAGTTTTTACCCTGACTGGGAACAAATCACTGTCAGTGCCTTTACTCTCTGCACCTCAGACTTACAGAAATCAAGAATATTCCCATTCAGTAGCATTTTCATATTCAACACATTTCTCATCTCATCTTTATGCTGTTTGTGAATCTTGAGCCTCTTCACACACATCTTTAAATGCAACAAGAAATTTAAATCCACTGACTCTTTCAAATTTAGACACTATTTCATGAACACCAACACTCCCACTCCCGCTCTCAGACCCATCCCTCTCTGTGGTTTGGCTCTTTTGACCCTAGTTTTCTTCTTCAGTTTGATTCCCCGCTGTGCCATAATTAGCCTGTAAGGTGGTCCAAAGGAACATAATCCAAGATCATAACCATAAAATGCTTAGTTTGTTCTTATATCCATGTAATCAATCATTTTGTATAAAAGTAATTAAAAGTCAGTCATCTCTCCTTCCTCCAACTTCCTCATCTGCCATTCCCATTAAGTCAGGGCAGGTGGAGCTTATTGACTTGGTAGCTGTCTTGATGGGGCATTCCAGCTGAAACTTCCGACTTCAACATGAACATATCATTGTTCTTTGAGCCAAGTTTCCATTACAACAAACAGAAAGGTGCTGTTTTACTCCTTCGGGAACCTGACAATATCTGGAGCTCATCAAGTTTATCATCAAGTTTATCATCAAGTTTATCATCAAGTTTATCTTCGCCTGTGATAACACAGGTGAAGATAAATGTGGAAAGAGGTATCTGTTTGTGGTCCTGTCTCATGACGACCGACAGTTTAGAGGTCCGATTCCCTAAAAGGATCCGATTGGATGATCTCTGCCGGAAGATTTGGAGACGAGTCCAAGGTTTCACCAAAAAAAGAGAAATTTGTGGCTATGAGTTTCAACATGTGGCCTAAAAGTATAAAAAGGGAAAGAAAGCCGACACGCTGAGGTGAGTGACTATTACTTCTGTCTCTAAAAAATAAACCACACTCACTGACTTTTACTGCAGCACAAACAAACATGTCTCTTAAAGAAACAGCAACAGTGCACAGAGATGCTCAACCTATCACAGCAAAATAACCTTTAACATTCGTTACACTATTATATACTGTACAATTCAGACACCAGCCTAAATATTTCCGGTCTTTCTGATTCGCATTAATTGTAGCAGTTTGACAGATGCTTAAATGTTGTCCGTCGCAGATGTGACAGTGATCTGTGGTGTTTCAGAGCTGGATGAGTGTACTCTCATATCCTGGACCCTGATATTGTGGTGGCTTATCAGTGACTTTCACTTTCAAAACACACAATAAGAGGGAGAAATCACGGGTGGATGACTCAGAGATATGGGTGCAGTGCTAGTCCATTCCAATAATGATATTGATATTGTAATCATGGATTTTGTTGAAATTGAACAGAATTAAAGCTGGTTTAAGGTTTTTAGTTACATTTCTGCACAGAGGAAGAAGCAACTCTCAGCTCTTCACAGTGTCGTCACTTGACTGTTTTAGTCTGTCAGACTTTCGTAAATACCTGCAGCCTCACAAAGCCCACAGGAAAAACACAAAAACAAGATTGATGTGTATTTATGCACATGGCACAGGAACATGTTCTTCATTAACACACGGACTTGAGGCTAAATAAAATTTGATGTTCTTCTACACATCACCCAGGTCAGCTGTCACAGGTAGTTTTCAGGTTTATGTGGTGGAACAGTTTATAATAATGCAGCTCCTCTCCTGTGGAAACATCATCGTGCTAATTTGGCCGACAGCTTTCAGTCACAAAACTGACTTTGGTGAACCTGGACACGAGCTGCTCATTTTACATTTACGTAACGTTACAGTTTAGGTTTCTTGCATGACATATGAAATGTTACTTTTTAAGTGACAGCACAATTTGAATTAAGTAAAATGTGAATATTTTATATTCTGTCTGGAGAAACAAAAACAAACAAACAAACCAAAAGGCTTCAGTTGGTCCAACCAGCACCAGCAGTGTGACACATGAGGTGACGCTGGTGAGGTTGAGAGTTAATTCAGTCATATTGTAGGGACACCACAGTGTACTCTGACATATTATTCTTCACATAATTCAATGGTTTATTCTCTTCTATTTTTGCATAGTAGTGTTGTTTTTAGGTTTGCTGCATTTATTTATTTATTCCTGCCCTGTTTACTTTGCTGCTGTAACAAAGTGAATTTCCCATCTCTGGGAATAATAATAGTTTATCTTTTCCGGGCAGCTTACTTTTTGTGGA